ATTCAAATTCGAACTCGCATACTTTTTTGTCTGTATAAAAGAGTTGTCAAATGAAAAATTAATTCAGACTTACTTTCTGTTTTTCTTCTTCTCGTAGTACCTTTGCTTGGCTCTGTCCCTTTCATCTCTCTTCTTACTAACGGTGCTCGGATCTTGCTGATGAGGATTCGCCGCTGCTTTCTCATCTGCGGCCAGCATCTGCGATGGCTGGTTGGCATCATGACAGCCAGGCCCGTTCTCTGGTGGTGGTGGCAGTGATATTAGGGGCAAGGCAGGGCAGGAAGTAGGGAAGCCATCGAGGAGCAGCGATGGATGATAATCGTTGCCCATGGATTGCAGAAGGGTAGTTGATGTCATGACCGGCTGGCACGACGATGAGGATGGGTTATAAGATGAGTATGATGATGATAAGATGTGGAAGATCGATGGTGGCAGCTGCTGTTGCCGCCAATGTTATTGTCTCATTACGCGGCCGGATTCACTGTGCGCCCTCAAGGCAAGTTACTACCCTAATGGTAATTTTGAAGATACTGTGTTGTAATGCCTCGCCGACTTGGCACGCTATCCACCATGGCCTCGAACTTCTCAAGAAGGGCTTGATTTTTAGGGTAGGAAACGGGGAACACATTCGCATTCGGAGGGACCCTTGGCTCTTCCGCCCTTTCTCCTTCAAGCCAGTGTCACCGAGAGGTACATGCCGCTTGAGACGCGTGGCAGAGCTACTGGATGATGCCGGGAGATGGTATGGAGATCTCCTACGACGCCACTTCCTTCCCGTGGATGTTGCGGTTATCACGAAGATCAAGTTGTCGACAAGGGGCTTTGAGGATGTCCTCACCTGGGCACCTGATCCCACGGGCGTCTTCACTGTACGGAGCGCCTACCGCCTTGCCCTCGACGAGAGGAACCGCAGGTCATCGTGCGCCATGAGCAGGGCGCCGGACGGCACACGTGCTGTCAGAGAAGCATTGTGGGGGTGCCCTGCCCCTTCAAAGGTACGCGTGTTTTCTTGGCGGCTTGTCACAAACTCTCTGGCTACAATGGAAAATAAGGCAAAGAGAAAGATCGAGACTTCTGACATTTGCACGATCTGTGGCGTGGAACGCGAGGATACTTTCCACGCTTTTTGCGGATGTCCGATGGCTCGAGGATTCTGGCGTGCGATGAGTAAGCATTGGAGGATGCCCCGGCTGGAAAACATCGAGCATACATGACGGGAGTGGTTGCTGCATCTTCTCAACAAGAGCAGTGAGGAGGAACGACTTCCTATATTGAGACACTATGGAGAACTTGGCATATTGAGACAGGTAATTATGATTGAAGCTGCTGATGCTGGTGCCTCTTTGATCTCCTACTATTGTTGTTGTCCCATTCGCATCGCAGATTTGAGATCCATCCTCCATGAATGTATTGAGAGCAGCACAAATCAACTGAATGAGTACTCATGTGCCATCCTAGTTAAGAGCTACTCCTTCCGTCCCAAAATTCTTGTCTTAAATTTGTCTAAACACGGATGTATCAAGTCACATTTTAGTATTAGATACATCCGTATCTTGACAAGTCTAAGACAAGAATTTTGGGACGGAGGGAGTACGTAAGAGAGATATTCAATCATAATTACCTGTCGATTCGTTGAGGCAGTGAAACCTATCTTGGCACTTGTAAGCTAGCATTCTTGGCTTTGTGTGCCAGAAAAGAAGGAAGGTTTTTAGTTGATTCAGTTATATATTACTCCCTCCATTTCTAAATATTTATTTTTCTAGAGATTTCAACAAGTGACTACATACGGATGTATATAGACATATTTTCCTTTTTGCTTTTTGTGTGGTGTATACAGTCAAACTAACTAACATATGCGTTCAATAGTGATTAGAAGGTACTGTCAGTCAGTTAATCAGTTAGATCAAGCTTGGCACCACAAAAATTGAGATGAGAACTGAATATGCATGCTATTCTTCATTAATCATTCATATGATCCTTAGATCATCGATCCACCATTACATGTGTCAGGAAAGAAATCTTCCCTTTTTCATCAAAGATAGAGCACACTCCCCACTTCCTTATTTGTCACAATGTACTCCTCATATCCCTTCATTAATCACTCACACTCTCTCTCACTCACTTGTATTGTCATCATTCTCTCTTCTCTATATCATTCCCTTGATCGATACATAGCCGGAGCAGCACTACCCACTGAATTCAGTCACTGGATCACACACAATATATCACTGTCCATGTAAGATTTGGCACACAAGATCATCAAGAAAAGTCTCCGTCAACTGCATATACTGGCGCAAAAAGGAAGTGAAATTTAGAAATTAACCAAAGTAGATATGGTACCTGAATCTCCTGTAGGAATTGTGGGAGGACGTCGGCGAGCCAGGCGTCGAAGTCATCCTGCGAGGACGGCGCTTCGACGGAGAGGATGCGGAGGATCTCGGCGGGCGTGGGGCAGCCGGTGTACTCTTGCACGAGGGAGGCGCCGCCGTCCGGCAGGGCGAGGCGGTCGGCGCAGTCGGTGCAGAGCGTGGCCCGGTGGCCGCCGACTTGGTAGCGGAGCGCGGCGGGCGCGACGACGCAGGCGTCGCAGAGCGGGGCGCGCCGGTGGAGGCTCGCGAGCGCGCTGGCGCCGTGCAGGGCGGCGTCGCACTGGAGGCAGAGCCTGGCGCCGTCGGCGAAGCAGAAGACGAGGGCGCGCTCGGTGACGCAGTTGCTGCACGCGGACGGCGGGATCGGCTGGTGGCGGTCCGCCATTATGATGGCGTGCGCAGAGTGATGGCACTCCTCATTCATGTACCAGCACATCCGCACTGCACGTGCCAAGGGCGGCGACTGCGGGTCGATGGATGGGGCGGCTGCGCCGGCGAGGTGGGGGCCTAGGGGTGAATAAATAGGCGGCGGGGAAGGGTCTTGGCGGTTGGTTTGCGGTCGACGGGTGCGCCGAGTCCCCAGGTAATGCGGGCCACGGCGAGCGTGCTGCTCGCGCGGTTAGTTTACGGGCCACGACTCGTGTGGGGGTCCTCGGCAGGGGCGGGACCTGGCGAGGTCCGTCTGCGCGGTTTCGTGGCCTTCCTCCTTGACGGCGCGGACGCGGATGCCCCGGCGGTATGGACTCATACGCCGCGCTCCGGAACAAGCGCCATGCCACGGTGTACGCCTGCCAGCAGATGTGGCCACCTACGAGCGAAACTTGCTTATCCTAGCTGTCTTTTATTTTTTGCGAGGTAAAAGGGAGTTTTATTCCATATTAATATTGATAGGGGTTACATTCCAGAGGCAGTAATTGCTCTATACAAGGAGGTCCTTGACCAAGCCACACATGACTATATAACGTTAAATGATCTGTTACCCTATTTTGCTCTCTCGTAAGCTTATGGGAAAACAAACTCCCGGATAAGCATGTATGCTTTTATCTCCGCGACTAAGTGCACATACGCTGACCTGCTTAGTATAGAATTGAAAAGACTTCGCAATGCTTCCGAAGAGTAGGATTGAACAACTATAGTACCCTCTGAGTGCTGGATTGCCAAAACCATGTCCTGCATGCGTGCATGAATCTCCGTCTCCAAAGCATCATTGCAACTAAAAATATACCAGTAAGCGGCAAACACCACACCACCATCATGACGACACAGATGCTGCTCCATCCGCCGATGGATAAGAACCATCCACCGAAACGCCGATACCTCAATGGTCCGAATTTCCTTTCCTTGCACCACGTCTGACTGCAATTGCCACACACGCCAAGTCAACATTAGGATTGTACCGATGTTGTTTTGAACATTCTTCAGGTCTGAAGATTGCTTTCGTAAAAGTGAAATTGTTTGTTTTGAAGAAGCTCGGACTGACTGTGAAGTATATGAAGAAATTTTTACTTGTTTTGAAGGCGGTTTTTTTTGCGGGGAAGGCGGTTTACGGATGAAGTATTTGGGGCTTTCTGTCCAAAACACTATATACTTAGAAAAAAATAGCCGGAGAAAAAGCGAGGCTAAAATAGAAAACGAGTTAGATACTTGGCAGGCTAAATTTCGTTCTTTTAGGTGGTAAATTAGTTGTATTGAGGTCCAACTTAAGCAATATCACATAATATAAGATGTCTTTTTTTCTAATAAAATATATTTAACAAGGCAAACACTCATAGACATCATCTTGTTAATTGGCTAATTGGCTGCCAACTCATATACCAGGGTAGCCTGGGCCCATAGATGTCAAGGTCACTTAGTTATACTTAATAAACGGGTATGAAAAATTAAAAATTAAGATGGTTTGTGGCACATAATGATATCAGATAGATATTGTACGAGACAAAACGTAGCTAATGCTAAAATTATACCTAATCAATCACTTTTTTTTTGTAGAGAAAAGATTGGAAATTGTCATAGTATAACATTACATTTCAAAAGTGACATTGTAGTTTCAATAGTTTCCGAGAAAGATTGGCGCAGTATTAGATTTAGGATAATACTTTGGGGTGAATGTGATGATAGTATGTGGCAGCAGCTCCAGTAATTGTGTAACAGTTCATTTCGACAGAGGAGCCTGATAAATGGCAGTGACTGTTCATCAAATTTGGTGTGTTTTTTTCTTCTTCAGAACTGTCATGTGTACTTTGACTTTATAGATTGTAAAATCATTCACGGACGATTAGTGGAGACATGTCCAAGTCGCAAAATCATCCACATGCATCAGCGTTGTGTTTTGTTGTGCGCTGCAATATATAATGTGCATCATATTTCCATTGATCGACTTTCCGAATGACAAACGATATCCAGTGCATATAGCACAACACAGGCGAACAGAGCAGACCGATTAAACTAACCTGACAAATCTAATGATGATGATGAGTGTACTCACTCACTAACCCCCCTTTGTCTAAGCTAATTAACCCTCACCTTACTATCTCCTCTCCTACTAGCCGGACCTCTTTATGTACATTTGAGAGCACACGAACTAGGAGCTATATAGCTAAGCAGAATCCTCTGCTCGATCGCCTGTTGCTGTTAGTTACCACCCCAAGCTTCGTTGAGGTCGAACAGCAGGTGGCCCTTCTCGTCCCGGTAATCCTCCTTGATCTTGTGCTCCTGCACAGCATCAGTCAAAACGATTTTTAGCTTGATGAAGCAACAACATTTCAAAACTCAACTGGTCCACGATGCACGCAACGGGGAATTTAAAAACAAAAAATGCACAGCAAACAAGACGGAATCCAGCTGCAGCTGCCACTCTAGTGGCAACAAAATAAGCAAACACGCTTACTGGTAGATTTTTCTTTTCTTAAGAAACTGTTTCTACCAGTGGATTGTTTTTTTACAATATACTCCCTCCATTCCTAAATAATTGTCTTTCTAGAGATTTCAACAAGTGAATACATACAAAGCAAAATGAGTGAATCTACACTCTAAAACATGTCTATATACATCCGTATGTTGTAGTCCATTTGAGATGGACAGAAAGACAAATATTTAGGAACGGAGCGAGTAGACAGTTATTAGTAGAGTTGATCTTGATTGGAGTAAGTAAAAAATTTGAACGAAAGGACTGGCAGCCATGGTGGGCCCGGCGGCACGATACCGCCAGCCGCGGCCCACGAGCCCTTGCCGGCCGGCAGGCATCCGATGAGTCTACAACAACCTCTACCGCAAGCAGAGCGAGGAAAAAGTAGTTGTCTTGCAAAGCAAGTCAGAACGAAATAAAAAAAACTATCTACCACTAGTACTCGTACGAATTACCCAGAGATTTAGAAGAAAAAAAAAAGAAAAAGGAGGAGCAGCCTCCTGGAGACCCAAACCCCAGCGGAAGATGCATGTCGACGTGCAAATCCAAACGAACATCACGTCGCATGTGGGAACGCATCAACGATAGGAAAAAAGGCACCAAAATCATTTTTATCATTTTTTTTCTAGTAAAAACGCAGCGAAATCATTTTTCCGCTAGTTTCGTTGGCAAAAGTGAGCGGCACAGGCGAGATAGATAACCGACCGATAACCGTCAAAGGATCGGAGAGAGATAGAGAGTGCAGAAACCGGACGGAGACTCCGCGAATAATTGGAAAACGAGAACGGGATAAGAAAGCTCACCTCCACTTTAGCCTCGGTCGCCGCAGCTTCGCCGGCGGCGAGGTCCGTCCGCGAGCGCTTCGTCGGCGAGCCGCGCCCCTCGGTGCCGCTCGACGGCCCTCCGCCTCCGCCCGACCCCTGCGCCGCCGTCGGCCGCGCTGCTTCGTCGCCGCTCGAGGACGCTCCCGATCCGGCGGCGTTGGCGAAGTCGAAGGGCGTCTCCGGGCTCGACTCCACGCTGGTGGCAGTCGCCTTCTCGCTCACGCGCACCCGTCGCCGCGACCGCGCCCGGTCGGCGCCGCTCGTGGAAGGGCCGGACCCGGTTGCCGAGCCTGAGAAGTAGTGCGGCGGTACCTCCGGCCTCCGCGCGGTGAAAGACAGGCGCTTCGGCTTCGGGGCAGACCACGCCCTCTCCTCCTCCTCCTCCTCCTCCTCCTCGCCGGAACACGCGCCGGATCCGCCGAGAACGGGGCGCCCCGGCCGCGCGGAGGGGCTCTTCAGCGACGGCAGACACGCGGTTCCTTCAGCCCGCGCAGGCAGCCGCGACCGCGGCCGCTTCGGCCATCCCTCCGGGATCGGCGGCAGCTCGGCCTCCTCTGGCCGCTGGAGACCGTCGTACGGCCGGGCGATCCACTCCGGCCACCGCACGAGGTTCCTGCTCCGGAGGCTGAGCAGAATCTTGGCGGCCGCGACGGCCAGGTCCTCCTCTCCGAACTCCGCCATGGGGAAAGGAAAGCCGCGAGAAACCAAGTCCCGCACGCCGCCGTTCCGCGGAAATAAAGAGGGAGGCCACGGGAGGGAGGTGGTGGCCGTTTTATAGGTGATGACGAATTCGGCTTGGAGAAGGAGACGGACTGCGGTGGCCGCGGCCTAGACCCTACAAACCTGCACGCCTGGTTAAATCGTCCGTAGGTGTAGCTTTGTCCAGCAGGCTGATTTTCCTTTGGAAAAAATATAAAAATGTTTATTCTCTGAACAAATTAGGACGCGTTTTTGGCGAGGGAGTACTCCCTCGGCGAAGACTATAAGCCCTGTTTGGTTACACGGACGGACTAAAGTTTCTTTTAGTTCCTGTGTAACCAAACAGAAGGAAGATTTTTTAAGAAACTAGAAAAAAACTCTATCGAAAGGGTTTTTTCTTTAGTCTCGGAGACTAAAAAAAGTTTAGTCTCTTGCAACCTAACACCCCCTAAGACTGAGGAGTACTACCTCCATTTCATAATATAAAAACGTTTTTAACACTATACTAGTGTAAAAAGCGTTTCTTATATGAGAAAATTTTGTTTTTGCCACTCCAGATTTCGCCAATTTTCCTTATGCCACTTTAGATTTTGACATTTCACTTTTGCCACGCTTAGTTTTTGACAATTGTCACAATTTCCATTCCATTGCAAAAGCAGAATAATTTTATTTCATTTTTGCCACTCTTAGCTTTTGAAATGTATCACAATTGCCACTCTGAAAATTTTGCTTTTGCCACGGGAATGGCAATTGTGATAATTGTCAAAAACTAAGAGTGGCGAAAGTGAAATGTCAAAATCTAGAATGACATAAGGAAAATTGGCAAAATCTAGAGTGGCAAAAACAAAATTTTCCCTTCTTATATTACGAAACGGAGGAAGTATTACTTTCTTTATCTCATAATATAAGATATTTTTATTTAGTGTTGGTTATATGCACAACTTTCCAATCATTTGGCTTGCAGACGCTAATTACTCCATCATTCCCACAATGTAAAAGCATTCTTTGTATTATTATAATGTTAAGATAGCTTATGTTTGTTTCTTTTTCCATAGTAGTAGGCTACTTGCAAAATATATTCATCACAATCAGGGGCATGTACAACTATATTTATGTTGCAGATACACTCGAGCAGAACCAACCTAGTTAAGAAGAAGCTGAATGATCTCGTTTATGTGATGTTCAACAAGATACTGGACTCGGAAGTACTCGGACGTATAATAGTCTATAATTTATTGTTGGGCCAAAATTATGTCATGGTTTATATACATGCATCAATTCTTCAAGTAGCTCACTGCTTGATTCGGTTATGAGAATAACAACTACAAATAGAGTAATTAATCTTGCTTCTTTGCTGGTTGAGTAACTTCATTATGGGTTGTGTTGTCCGAGGTAAATTGATACCTTATGTTTGTTGGAATGGTCAATTAACTACATAAACTGAGACACCATAAAACAAGTTTGACAGATCAACTAAAATATGAACAGTATTGGCCCAAAGTTACAGCAGTGCACGTATCAGTTGTAATGATAATCATTTTACCATGCATTTTTCTTTTGCTAGCTTTCTATCGAAGACATCAATTGTAGTTATATGCATATCTTCGTCATTTAGTGTGATTATGTCCTACAAAATATGTCCACATCACTCCAATTTTCCATGATATTGATCGTTGTTCTTTGACCATTTAAATGAACATTCTCTAATGTTTCGTTCTCAGTTAAATTTGGTTGTCTTTGTGGAATTTATATAATACCACCACCCAAACTGTTTTTACTGCAATGCATACTAACCTGGAGCTAGCATCTCATGGATGGCCTATTTAGCATTTTCTCCTATGACTTCCATGTCAGGGAAATGTTATTATGATCATGTATCAATAGGAATGACCTCATTTATTATTTGAGAGTTCAGGTATCTTCTTCTTGCATGTTGGTATTGCTCTTTTTATTTGGATTGAAGCATGGTTGTGATGCTATATCCTGGAGAGAAGATAAGCAAGTGCAGTTGGTGAACCAAATGTAATTCCTATGGGGAACACTAATTTGTGACCTTAGCTCAGCCGTATTAAACGGATAGGAGTTAGCTCATAATATTAATGCCACTCCAATAATGGAAGAAGAGTTTAATTAAGCTGAGAAATTAACTTGATGAAAGGAGCAACTTTCTTCAAAATTTGCAAAATAACATCTCCAAGATCTCAGACGAGGAGCAATACTGTGAACTTAGCAGTGGCAGAAGAAAGTGAAGCAATTGCTACGCCGGACGACAAAATGTTCATCTACCTGCTTGATTAATGTGTTCCGCACCTAATAGTGCTTACATTTTTCTTCTTTTAGAACCCTTCTGTGGTACTCCTGCGGATAGCAGATGAAAGGAAGTCGAGAGGTCAAGAGGAGCTCAAAACTACTGTGTGCAGTTTTCTTCAGTTTGAGTGAATTTTGTGGCCTAACTGTTGTAACTTTTCATTTTCCATGCATTCTGAATGTTCGTGTAGAATAGAGAACCATGTTAGTGCAAAACTCCTGTTGTTATCATGCATTATGATAGCTACATTTTCCCAAATTTTTGTGCATAAACATACATATCTGGACTAAACTATTTCCCTTATTTTTTGTTATTTTCTAAGCCAATGCATGTATATGCCAATATAATTATGGGTGTTATGCTATTGGTTGAGTCAACTATACCATGTACAATATTCAAATAGATTTTGAGTTTTGCATATGAAAAATGTTCACAACCTATTAACATCTAAGTGATAACTGATAAAAAATTGATGTGTCGTAGATTCATCCATCTATGGTAAGTATCATCTGTTTTTGAAATTTTGAAACATTTTTCTTGAGAATGGTACTTCTTATCTCAAATATGATATATTAATATATTTTCATTTGATATATTTCCAATCCCTGAAAACACAAAACAAATCATTTTTTTTAAACTGGACAGCAGGAGTACCTCCTACAGTAAATGAATCAATATAATTAGAGTTTAAATGTACATGAGATAATTACAACCCATCCCACTTGGGGGCGGGTACTACTAAGTCAAAGAGGCAAGTAAAGGGGGGATGAGGTGTTTCTGTTCTCCTCGGCCCTATCACTGCAGGAATCAGGAACTTTGCCTTTCGCCACGGCTGACGGCAAAGGCACACATAGCGGACGGCAAAGAATTTTGCCGTCAGCCAGCAGACGGCAACACATCTGGCTGAACAGGCTACGCCAAAGGCTTCTTTGCCATCTGCTGGCGGACGACAAAGATGCAAAGTTCATTGCCATCCTCCAGCAGACGGCAAAGAGCCTGGACAACACACGTGTCAGCTTAGGTCCGTTAAGGGGTTAACGGTGTGCTTTGTCGTCTGCTGGCGGACGGCAAAGAACATTGATTATTTGCCGTCTGCGAGCGGACGACATAACATTGCCACGTGGCAACACCTAGGGGATGGCCCATTTGGTATCTTCGTCGTCAGCTGCCTGCCGGTGAAAATTCAACGGCTTTGTCGTCAGCTGGCGGACGGCAAAGCTACTAAATAGCCAGCCCACTGCCCCAGGTTGCACAGGTGGCTGACATGTGGCATGTTTGCCGTCCGCTTGCTGATGGCAAAACTCTTTGCCGTCCGCCAGTTGACGGCAAAGAGTCTATACAACCCCTGTTTTTTCTATTTTTTCTTGATTTCATTCAATTTGACAGAATTTCACAC